GCCATGAAGTTTCCAGGTCTGAAACTGGTCCGGACCGTGTTCACTATAAGGCCTCCAAAGGGCAAGTGGAAGATATTGGATTTATATGGCATTTAAAGGCCTTATGAGACTATGTATAAGCATTATATATAGTGAAACATAAACTCAGTGGGAGTGTGGTCCTCTTGTGGATCATACTAGGCAAATGCAACTTATCGATACTTCGGACTTGGGTTGACGTGCTAGGTCAGCCGAGTTGGAAAACTAAAGGTACCTGGGTATAGAGATAAAACCAATGAGGGTTTAATGAGTTAACCCTTAATGAGGTCAGAGTATGCCCGGATGAGAGCCGATGGACCTTGTAACCCTTATGTGATGAATATTCTATAGAGACATGACTAAAACCTTATTGTTGTATCATCACATGGCATCAACTATCTAAGATAGTAATCCATCATTGAAGGTAAAATGTGTATATGTGCGAGAAATTTACCCATATGCACCCTATAGTCATGGTTGCATCATGGTCTAGCAGATCATGGTTTGTCTCTAGGGGAGAATCTAAAATCCACATAATGGGATTACGTCCCCTAGCAATTGATTGACTTTGGTGGTCCAATCATAAGCCTCTGCAGTGGATTATGGGTCATGAGAACTGCTGGGTCAGTTTGAGAAAGCTGATGTGGAACGTGGTCCACAGTTGAAGGTGGAGTGCTCTGGTGCGTTGATTTATTCATAAACCATATGGATCATTTTCCTATCAAAGTATTTAATTTAATTTATTTTAATAACATATGATTTTTAGAATTATTATTTAAATTTTTCTAAATCTCTGGATATTTTATTTATCAAATTTGGATTTATAAAATGGAGACATTGATTTAAATATTCAAATAATGTTCTTATGATTTTTTTAAAATATAAAAATATTATAATCACATGGGAGACCCATTAGGACCTTTGGGCCCGCCATAGCAAATTAGGTGGGGCCCATTATGTGCCACAAATGGAGGCACGCCTCACCTAGGTAACTTGCCCTTTCTAAATAACACAAGCTCTTGTCGTGTAGGATAAGAAAGATGTATTTGGTAAGCTTGAGCCTTGTAGAGATTTTGAATCATATTTTTAGTATATGTGAGAAAGCTTGAGCATAAAATAAGAAAGAATAATATTATCATATATTAATTTTTTATTTGAATTAATTGATGGGAAAATAGTTTAGGAAGTGAGGGATAATGGTTCTACAACCTTCCATATGTTGTTGATGGCCAATCTATGGAATTGACGACTCATATCCCTGACCCACAAGTTACCCAATATCAATGGTGCATATTTAATCGCATATAAGAAGCAAGTCAAGGAAAACCTTAAAAAACCCTAATATTGTCCAAAGCCTATAAAAAGATATTGTCTCTACCCAAAATATCTACACCTTATCTTTCTATCTCTCTCTTAACCTACCAAATGGGGCACGCCCCGCTCTCTCATCTTTGAGATCTCTCTCTCCCATATTATGAAATAACCTAAGGAGTTTAGGCTATTGAGAGTTGTTATCTTTCTCATGATGTCTCTCATGATATCTCATCTCTCTTTGGGATATTAGAACATAGGGTTGTGGTAGAAAATAGAAGCATCTTTTTCAAACTAGGTTGCTAAGAAGATTCATCTAGGGTTTGAGTTTTGTGATCAAAGAGTTCATGTTCCATTGATGTGGCTTATCCCAACCCTAATTGAGATTGGTGTGCTTGTCCAAACTTGGTTTTTCGATTAAGATTGAAAGTTGACCACTATTATGTTCTATTAGTGTGACTTGTCTAAACTTGCTTTCTCGATTGAGATTGATGTAATTTGTCATTTCCCAATTGAAATTGAAACTTGACTACCATTAGATCATGCGTCATTGAAAGGTTGACCATCATTAGATCACGCGCCATCGGAAGGTGGTGACTCGGTGTGGGGTATAAGAAGCTCAGTTGACGTAATCTCCGGTACCCTCTTTTGTTTCTTCCATATTTATTTATTATATCTTTTATTTCCAAGCATAGGTTGTGTCCTTTTTTTTTTTAATGAAAAGTGTTGTTCTGAATGGTTTCAAGTTATTGAGATTCTATTGTATTCTTTTAATTTAATTTTATTTGAAGTTGTTATATTGTAAAATAACTTCGTGTGAGTGATCTAGACCGTGAAGAAAATAAAAGAATTGAAAAAAAATAAAAGAAAATTTACGATATACTCCGGCTAGATCACACGTGTCCTTTTTCATTGGTACCAGAGCTTAGTAACCTCAATAAAATAAATTTCAACCTCAATAAAATAAGATATCAGAACTTAATAACCTCAATAAAATAAATCTCAACCTCAATAAAATAAATATCAACCTAAGTGTGTAAGTGGAGTGTACCATTTCTCTACCTAGGTGAGGCGTACCACCCTTTACAACTTAATTTATGAGAGAGAATATTTAAGAGAGAAGAAGAGAAAATAGGAAGAGAGAAGAGAGAGAAGCGTGCATGGGAGAAGATGCCCCTATTTATAGTGTTTCTCAGAGGGGATAGGGTTCCATAGAGATAACCATCAACAAAATTTGATCCTAGTGTTTTATCTTGGAGACATGAGGGATGAGAGATATAAGTCATCAATTCATCAGATTAGCCATTATGATCAAAAGGAATAGGTTAGATCCTTATCATTCAGTTATTAGATGAACAACGTGCGAGATGAGAGATATGAACCATCGATTCCTCAGATTTGCCGTCATGATCAAAAGAAAAGGAACGGGTCCGAACCTTATCATTCAATTCCTAGACCAAAATTTTATGATTCAGTTACTAGACCTTTATCCCATAGATATGGACTTTCTAATCAATTTAAGCCCAACTTAACTTTTCCTTGCAACTCCCCCCCAAAAAAACCATCTTTCTTAGCAAATACCCCCAATACAAAAAGTTCACTTTTTTGACAAAAATACCTTTCCTTTACATAATAAATCATTTTCGCTGAAGAGGGCGGTCTAGGGTTTGGAAGAGGCGGTCCGACGATTATTTTGCTGGAATGGGCGCTCCGGCATTTCATTGTGGCGATCGAGGATTATGCTATTGAAGAAATGGGCAGTCCGACATTTTAAAAAAGCGGTCCGGCATTTTTAAGGGCAGTCTGGTGTTTTTGAAAGTGGCGGTACAACATTTTGAAGGGGCAGTCTGGTGTTTTAAAGTGGTGGTCTGACGTTTTGAAATGAGCAGTCCAGCGTTGTAAAAGTACGGTCGGCATTTCCTTTTATTGGAATCTTAAAATGATTTGTTATGTATGAATGAAGGGTATTTTTGTTAAAAAAAAATGAACTTTTTGTATGGGGTATTTGCAAGGAAATATGGTTTATAGGGGGAAGTTGCTAGGAAAAGTTAGGTGCGTAAATTGATTAGAAAGTCCATTTTGGGGAGTTTTATGCAATTTTTCCTCTCCTTAAATATGAGATACATCAATAAATTTATATTTCTTTAATCAATTAAATATTTCAAAATATATTTTTGATTTCAAATAACTAACTCTCATATCTTAACAGATATCTTCAAATTTAAAATTAAAATGGAATGTGATCTCATTGGGGTGGTACGTAACCCTTCTTGCCTCTCAAAAAGTGGCATGGAGGCTTTATTCCACAAAAAAATGGATTTTTGTTAAAAGTGAAAAGTGACTCCCTTATAACCCCTCATTAAAAGTGGCTTGTAGCTCTATAAAAATAAGAAGCTTCCACAAAGTGGGGCCAAATCCCCATGGCCTCTTTAAAAGTGGCGTGCCACAAAGGAGTGGGCTCCCATGAAAAATCGAATTGGTCTAATGGCCCCCTATGAGCCCATATAATTGTATAAATTTCGAAAAAGACAATTTTATTTTTTGCTAATTTATTTTAAATAAATATATTTACAAACAATAAAAATAAAATAAATTATTTAAAATCTTAAAATAATTATTATAAAATTAATCAATATTTAAACAAATAAATTTGATGGGAATATGATCCTTAAAGTCAAATTAATAATTCCTAGAAGCACTCCATTTTCAACAGTGGACCACGATCTACACTAGGATTCTCAAATTGACCCAACAGTTCCCATGACCCACAGTCCACTACCCGTTAAACCATGATGCAATTATGACTCTATGATGCATAAAGATAATCTCTCGCATATATACACACGATTATTATCTCAGTACGGCAATCTATATATATGTGATGATACCACGATGATGTTTTAGTCCTATCTCTATAGATACACAAGGTTCAAACAATATTTCAGCTTTCATCCGGACATATTCCGACATCATCAAAGGCTAACACATTAAACCCTCATCGATTTTATCATTATAGTAAAATAACTTGGGTTTTACGGTTTGGCTAGCCTAAGTTCACCACGCTCCACTTAGTTTATATTTAATTATATATAATGCTGATACTTCGTAAGTCATGCAAAGGCATATTAACGGGCAGGGCAGGGCAGGGCGGGGCTGGGCTGGGCTGGGCTGGGCTGGGCTGTGCCGGGTGGCAGGAGTTGCGAGTAGCGAGCCGCCAGTCGAGGAGGGCTTCGCCGATGTACTTTTCAAACTAAGGCCGTTTGTTGAGCTTTTACTCTCTCTAAACTTCTCCAATCCTGAACTCAGAAACTGATCAAGTGAGCAGAGAGCGCCATGCAATGCTTTCCTTTCTCTCTCTAAGACGCTGGGGTTTCTGCAAGTTAGCCACTTTCTCTCTCCTATTCTCTACTTCATTGTCTCTATATTCCCTCCCGAAATCCTCTTCTAAGGCCACACAACCCATTGACGTTTTCTCTCTACTCAAAAGATGCTCAAATTTCAATCATGTCTCCCAAATACACGCCCTCTTTCTCACTCTAGGACTCTCCAGAGACCCATTTCGCATAGGCGAGATCCTCGGTTTCTATGTGAATTTTGGTCCCTGTCATTTGAACCAGGCTAGACTGTTTTTCGACCAAGTCGAGAACAAGAGCACATTTCTTTGGAATTCCATGATCAATTCATATTCCAATGGTCCTTCACCTGTAGAAGCTCTCTCTCTCTACATTCAAATGCTCAGAGAAGGTGCAAAAGCCAACAAATTCACGTTTCCTTCTCTTTTAAAAGCCTGCAATCTTCGCTCGTCTGCCCTAGAAGGCAAACAGATTCATTGTCAAGTTTTGAAGCTAGAGAGAGAAATGGATGGGTTCATTCAAAGTACTCTTATTGATATGTATGCCAATTCTGGGTGCTTCGATTATGCAGCTCAAGTTTTTGAAGAAATTTCTCAATTGAATGTGGTCTGTTGTACTGCCATGATTAATGGGTACATTCGATTTGGAAGCTTAGACAAAGCGGGCCAACTGTTCAATGAAATGGCGGAGAGAGATGTGATTTCTTGGAGTGCCATGATTTCTGGTTATGTTCAGATGGGTAGATATAAAGAAGCTTTCTCTCTCTTTCATGAAATGCAGCTCGAAAACATCAAACCCAACCAGGCAATACTTTTAGCCTTGCTTTCGATGTCGTCTTCTTTGCGTTCTCTCCGTCTAGGCCAGTGGGTCCATGCTTACATGATAAAATCCAGGGTTTCATGGAATGTGGGGCTCTCTACTTCAGGGGTTGACATGTACTCCAAATGTGGTGCATTGGAAATGGCTCTGAAATTGTTTAGAAAGATCCCCAGAAAAGATGTGGGGTCATGGAATGCCATGATCTCAGGCTTGGCCATGCATGGCCATGGCCAAGAAGCCATTGAACTCTTTCATGAGATGCAAGTTGCAGGTTTCAGACCAAATGATATCACTTTCATTAACATTTTGAATGCTTGTAGCCATTCAGGACTGGTAGATATGGGTCAATGCTTATTCGAAAGCATGATTCATAACCATGGGATCGATCCTAAAGTTCAACATTATGGGTGCTTAGTTGATCTTTATGGGCGAGCAGGCCTTCTTAGTGAAGCAGAAAGGGTTGTGAAGTTGATACCTATGAAACCTGATGCTATGGCATTAGGATCTTTGATTAATGCTTGTAGAATTCATGGAAACTTGGAGCTTGGAGAGAGAATTGGAAGGCTTTTGATTCAAGATTCACCTAGTACTGATGGTTATTATGTGATTCTTGCAAATTTGTATGCTTCATTTGAGAGGTGGGATAAAGTTGTGGAGATCAGAGATTTGATGGGGTCCCGAGGTAGTGAGAGGAATCCAGGATATAGTTTAATCGAAGTGAATGGCGAGGCACGCCAGATCACTGTTTGTGATGAAAGAGAAAGCTGCATGATCCCCAATTGAATGATGTCTGCGCGATGTTAGTAAGAGAAAATGATGTTGTTTTGAGCTGCTAGGAATGGAAGAGCATACGAGACCAGCTCAAGCACAGTCTGATTTACCATGGAAAAGTTTTTGGAGTGTCGACTCTTGCGTCTATCCTGATTTTTAAGGGTTTACGACCTCGAGTACATTCGCAAGCCACCACTGGGATCCATGAATATGGAGCTGCAGATACGATGATCTTCGAAGATCTGAAATGACCGGTCCTGAAAAAAGTACAAAACATATCATTTTTAATGTTCAATTTTTTTTCTTTTTTTGTATGTCAGTTTGTGGTATAAATAATAGACCAGTAAAACTATGGATCCAATATCCATCTCCTAGATGAACTCTTAATTGTTCAGTTGTAGATTCATGTGAGTTATAAAAGCAAGAAACCCTATTATTTGTACAGCAGTTATATTAACAAAAAAAAAATATACTCTGCCAAAGACAATCTGGATATTTTCATGTTTTGCTTCCTTATATAAACTTGGGTTGTATCAATTATATCTAATACCACTACCATTCTATACTCTCCACTCTCTCCATGATTTACACTCGCATAATTCTTTCTTTCTTCCACCCAATCTATACCTCCCATTATCTCCCCACATTTGAACGTACCTACGCATTTTCTCCCTCTAAAAGCCATACTTTGGATTGAAAATTGGAAATTGAAAATTGCAAACTGAGAAGCCAATCGAATGCTAAGACTATCAAGCCATGCGTCCATTAAAACCTCTCTGAGTTTCATACTTCTGACAACAGAACCACCACAATTTCTTCCTTCTTTCACTACCCAAGCGACCCATGACGCTTTAATTCCAGACCCAATCTCTAGACACCCACTTCTCTTTCTACTAGAATCCTGCAAAACATTCAATAGCCTTCTTCGACTCCAAGCGCAAATAATCACAGCTGGACTCTCAAACCATCATTTTTTCTCGGCAAAAATCATATCATTCTGTGCTCTGTCTCCGAAAGGCTGCTTAGACCATGCAAAGCTGGTTCTCAAACACACTGATAATCCTACCACTTTCATGTATAACACCATCATAAGAGCTTGCTCAAACACCAATTCACCTGAATTAGGCCTGGCTTTTTACTCTGAATTACTTGAAAAATGCTTAGATGCTGACAATTACACATACCCATATGTTATTAAGTCTTCTGGTCTTGTTGGGTCAGTCTCCGATGGCCTTAAGCTCCATGGCATCGTGGTCAAAGCTGGTTTTGTCGCCAACACTTACATACATTGCTCTCTTATCAACATGTATGTGAATTTTGGGTTCATGGAAAATGCAAGCTTGGTTTTTGAAGACAATCTATTGAGGGATGTTGTTACATGGACATCTCTGTTGAGTGGGTTTGTAAAATGTGGTGATTTAGAGGCTGCTATTGAAGTATTTGAACAGATGCCTGAGAGAAACTTGGTTTCTTGGAATGCAATGATCGATGGCTTTGTGCAATTTGGCCGATTCAGCGAAGCCCTTGGCCTCTTGAGAGAGATGCAAGCCTCAGGCTTAAGGCCTGATCAAGTGGCCCTAACTAGCGCATTGTCAGCCTGTGCTCACCTGGGTGCCTTGGACTTAGGCAAATGGGTCCATGTTTACCTGGAAAAAAGATTTATCAGATGGAGTATTGCTTTGTGGACTTCATTAGTGAGCATGTATGCTAGGAGTGGGTGGATAGAGAGCTCTCTTAGAGTTTTCCATGAGATGCCTGGGAGAGATTTACTGGCTTGGAATGCCATGATTGGTGGCCTCGCAATACATGGCCTTGGCCATCAAGCATTGGCCCTGTTTGCGCAAATGCTAAGCTCTGGCATAGCACCGGATGATGTGACTTTTATTGCAGCGCTAAGTGCCTGTACTCATTCAGGGTTGATTGAACAAGGCCTTGCACTTTATGAAAAGATGAGAATTGTGTATGGATTAGAGCCTAGGCTTGAGCATTTTGGTTGCATGGTTGACCTTCTTTGTAGGGCAGGGCTCTTGAGAGAGGCCATGGACTTCATAGGAAGTATGCCTCTGAGGCCTGATGCCATTATTTGGAGATCTTTGCTTAGTGGTTGCAATGCTTGTTTAGATGTTAAGTTGGGGGAGTCAATTATGAAATGCCTTTTGGAGACGGAGACTAATGATTATGGGGATTATGTTTCGATGTCGAATATATATGCGACTTTTGGCATGTGGGGGGACTCGGCAAAGCTTAGGGGTGCGGTGGAAGGCTTGACTACGGCTAGGAAGTTGGCTGGGTGTAGCGTAATCGAGGTGAATGGGGAGGTGCACGAGTTTCTCATCGGTGACCGATCACACCTACAAAAAAATGAGATTTACTCTATGTTGGATGTGCTAACTAGGCAGTTGAAATCTGAGGAGCACTAGTGCTGGGACAAGATTGGCCTGCCTTTATCTTCTTTTTGCCCCAAGCTAAGTGTTTTTAAGCTTGGGCTAAGTTGCTATGAATTTTATGGGGGTTTACTTCTTGCCTCTCACCAGCCTTGGTTGATTTGAGGCCAACCAGATGGTATTGCTAACTAGCATTTCCAGTTTTTTTTTTTTGGGTGAGGCAATGGGTAGAGGGCCCTACTTTTGGTAGAAATTGAGCCTAGAACGTAACATTGCAAATCGTCAAGGGCTAACCAATTGAGCCAGGGTTAGCATTCCTAGTTATTTACTGCCAAAGCATGATTGAGCCACAGTGGCCTTATCAGATTGCTATTTTAGGCGCTGTTTGGAAGGCCAAACAAATCTATTAGAGGGTTGGAGTTATTTATCAATGAAAAAAAAAACATTTTTTTTTTATTTTGCACGATATGCTTTTTGGCAGCTTTTACGAGTCAAGTTTCAGCATTGATTCGTTCCCAAATGAGTGGACAAAACAACCCAATTTACTAAATTTGCTCAGCCAAATGAGGACTTAGTTTTCTAGATTCAAGTGCTTTAGGTTATAGTAACCTATGTGGTCTAATTGTATTCCCTTTTTAATTTCCTCTTTATTCTTTCAACACGTATCTATCCTTTAATTATGGCTTAATAATATAGCATGGATAATCGTAACTTGTTTGTTAAAATATCTAGGCGCTCACGTAATCGGGAAATAATAATCTCAACTTGAAGAGCATCTAGGTGCATATATAATTGGGAAATAATAGTTTCAACTTAAAAAAGTAAATAGCCTCAAGGCATAGGTGATTAAAGTAGCAGGTGCTATAACATGAAATCTTGAGTTCAATTCTTAGTTCGAAGGAGCTTTCAAGCTGTATTTTGGTCGTTTTTCTCTCGATTATGTTGGTCGTGGTTCCAAATATTCCTTCTCTTAAGGGATGCTTCGGATTGCATAGAAAATCGCCTTTATCACCCGAGTCAAAGTTTTAATAAAAAGAAACTCTTAACCTCCTCAATATGGCTCACAACACAAAAAGAAACATAAAACCTCCAAAATTGGAATCACAACACAAAAAGAAACATAAAACCTCCAAAATTGGAATCACAACGCAAAAAGAAACATAAAACCTGCAAATATGAGATGCCACACTCCCTTAAATAGCCATCTCTTAAGGTTAAAAGTCAGGAAACCTCTCCTAAACTTTTGAAATGGCTTCCAATTTGTATCTTATAGCCATTTGGCCCCACCAGTGAG